CATTTTCTAGATTTGATGAATTCTTTAAACCCACAGACTTGAATTCTGTGAACCCCAGGCATGCACACAAACATACACACACACACGAATACAGCAAGGCATAGCATACAAAATTGCTGAAAACCAGTGAATAGGTGAAAAATCTTAACACATCCAGAGGAAAAGAGGCATATTGTGTGTCAAGGAACAAAGAGGATCATTAGATTTTTAGACGTCTTGTCAAAAATTATGTAAGCCAGAATTCTGGAGCATCTGTAAAGTGCTGAAAGAAAAACGTGTCAACTTGAATTCTATAACTAACAGAAACATTCTTCAAGTTTCAGGCATATAAATACTTTTTCAGACAAACAAAAGCTGAAAGAATTTGATCCAGCAGAACTGTACTGCAGGTTAAATGAAGTTCTCAGACAAAAGGAAAATGATACCAGATGGAACCTTGTGTCTGCATAAAGGAATGAAGAGTGTTGGAAAAAGCACGGATCTGGAGTTTGGGAATTTTTTCTCAGCTTATGCAGTGATTCAGAAAATCAGCATAATGATAGAAATTTAAACAGTCATGTGGCCTAACTCCTTGCATGCAGACAGCCATTAAAACCTCCTGAGAGAAAATTGTGAATGTTCACTATGAGGGTACTTCAAAAAGTTCATGGAAAGATTAGTATTATCTTTTAATTCTGCTTTTCCATAAACTTTTTGAAGTACCCTTTTATATGTTTCTACTTATATTTTTCATGATTGATAAAATTCCTGAATATTTTAAGAATCTAAATGACAGTTCCTGCTGCCTGTTAATCAAAGTTGAATTGCACGGTTTAGATTCCAGTATAACTATTTTTGCCAAAGTCTTAAAAAATGTTTTGAGGAAAATATAAAATGTATGCTTCTCTCCTTATTGGAACCTACAAATTATTTCCATAACTAAGATGCTATAAAATCATTTTTAGATATACCACAGTCCAGCATAGCAGTTAAACTCTTAGTGTGAGATATTTTTTAAAGATTAAGTTTAAAGCTCAGTGCCTCAAATACTTGAAACAGAGAAAGCAAATGAAAAATAATTTTAGGGCTGGCCCGGTGGCGCACTGCTACAGTGCGCCGCTTGGGAGCGCAGCGGCGCTCCCGCCGAGGGTTTGGATCCCACATACAGACCAGTTCCTGCTCACTGGCTGAGCGAGGTGCGGGCGCAGCGCCAAGGGTTGCGATCCCGTTGCTGGTCCCGGTCTGGTATGGGCGCAACACTGAGGGTTGCGATCCGTTGCCAGACACGAAAAAAGACAAAAAGGAAAAAAAAAAAAAAGAAAAATAATTTTAGCTTGCTTGAATGACCTCAGTTCGCCTTTATAAAGGAGAATATTAATCTTACCATGCTTTATTTTTTTTTATTGTACAGTTTCAAACCTTGTTTTCCCTTCACTTGTGCATACTTTTTTTTCCCTTATATGTTTCTTAATTAATACCCTATTGGAATGCGGTAAGTGCTGGATTGACTATTTATTCTAGTACTGCATGCCAGGAGGTATTTGAAGTTACAGAATGTTTGTAGGATGTTATAGAATGTTGTAGAAGTTATGGTACGTTGCAAATGGTATTGTACTTTTTATTATAATGTTCAATAATTATAAGTATTTTATATTAAACTGAACTTTTTAATGAAATATGTTTATTAAGAAAAAATATTGTAAGAATTATTATGACTTCATACCAGATTAGAATGAAAACAGCTGCAGTTAATGGGGATGGTAAACCGAAAACAGCTGTGGAATCTGGAAGTTGGTGTAACTACAAATTTTAGATAAGGATTGTTTGAACTTCTGACACTGAAGTACTTAAGGTAAATGGGCCATGATCTATACAATTTACTTGCAGATGGTTCCTGCACACACACACACACACACACACACACACGCACATGCACACACACACGACTGTATGTGTGTATGTGTATGTTCACATGGGTAAATGCATAATAAAAGTTAGAAAAAGAGCACCTAAATAAATATATATCCCTCACTCACTGGCTTCCAGGGCTCTAATAAGCAATTGGGGAAGGAAAAAAACTGTTAAAACTAACATGATCTTTTCTTAAGGACAGGAGCTGAACATAATATGACAGTATTAAAATTGTCTTATGCAAATAGTATGCTTGTGAATAGAGGAAAAGTGGAAAGCTAACATAAAAGAAATATTTTAATACAATGAAAGTGTTGAAGTTTGAAACTCAAGATTCTTTTTTATATGACTGTCGTTCAGATAAATCTACACTATTCACCATAGTAGCATGATCATAGATTTGAGTCAGTGTTTTGGTTAAAGAGTGGTAAAATGAAATTTTTATGTCTTTTCTTCCATTAACCTTTTTTTAGATCTTTAGTGGCTTTGTCATTGATACTGTCCATGCTCCTCTTCAAACCTGCTCCAATTTATATTCTTGATGAGGTAGATGCAGCTTTGGATCTTTCTCATACCCAGAATATTGGACAGATGCTGCGAACTCATTTCACACATTCTCAGGTAAGAACCAGAAAAAGGTGTCTCAGTAAAAGTTTAAGTAGAGTGTTTGTTTTTCTAAAATTATTATTTGGTAGTAGTCAATGTTAATAAGGTACTTAGGACTGAAGAATACTAAAGTATCATATATTTATTTAAATAAACACGTTCAAATAGGTGTAGAAGGAAAAAGTGTTCGGTCTCCTTTTAAAGAAAGAGCCAAGCATTAACGGTGTTGGTTATAGCAAGAGGGAGAATTCAATTTAGTCATAATTTGGAATTGATTTAGGGTTAATATAAATGTTTTCTCTAGTTAGCTGTCTTAAAGATGCGTAATCAAAACAAAACCTTTCGGAGATATACCTCAGATGTCAAAATCACGTGGCACTTGATGGGGGGAGTTTAAATCTTTAATTTTCATGGCTAAAAAGTAGAAAATAGGCTCTTGAAGCTAAGAACAGTTTGTTTTTATTGTACTATTGCTGTAAGAACTGGGGCTGCCAAATGTGGTTGCATAAATTAACGCATTGTATGATTCTGGGGGCTCTATTCATAATAGTTATATTTATTACAGCATTTCTTTTTGCAAATTAACATTGAAATGGTGTCTTTTCTTAATTATATAAAGGTTCCACTTGGGCTAGTGGTAGTGCTATAGGAACTTGAAACTTTTGATATTATTAAAATACCACAAGGAAAAATATTTCACTAGAGCACTTAGAGTTAGCAACAAAAAAAGCTGTCAACCATCAGGAAGTAGTAAACTTGGGTAATGAAGCATTCAAGGTAAAATTAAGAGACTTCTAAAACCAAGTATGGAAAGCTAACATTCATTTAGGTGCTTAATTTTGAGGATGTGCATTTGCTTGGAGTCAAGTATTTAAAGAAATAAAATCAAAATGATCTTCAAATAATTCTTATTCACAGTATAAAGGAGTGAATTCCTTTAAGAATATTACAGGAAATTTTTCTTACACTTTTTTCTTTTTCCCTTAAGTTCATTGTGGTGTCCCTAAAAGAAGGTATGTTCAACAACGCAAATGTTCTTTTCAAAACCAAGTTTGTGGATGGTGTTTCTACAGTAGCCAGATTTACTCAATGTCAAAATGGAAAGATTTCAAAGGAAACAAAATCCAAGGCAAAAGGACCTAAAGGAGGAGCACATGTGGAAGTTTAAAGTGCAAATTTGCTCCTTTACCCTGACCTGTTTTTTAAAGATAAACTTTTAAGAACTTGGGATCTAATTTGTTTATATAAAAAAAATTAATGTTATTTTGTTACCTAACCCTTATTTTCTCTTCCTTTCTGTAATCACATAAATAAGCTTTGATTCTTCATCTCTTAATTAGTGTTAACTATAATCCAATTACTGTGGTCGTGATTTTATGTGTATCATCAAATGTTTTTTCTTACGCAAGTCTTTTATATATTAGGGAACCTGAGATACTTGGTTAATGGTAAATTCTGTATGTTAAAGCAAAACTAGAATGAAACATGAAATTAAATTGTAGTATAAATATAGCTGATAGCTTTTAATTAGTTTAGTTCCTGAGGTAATATTAATGTATTTTCTATTGCTAATAAAGTCATTCAGGTAAGGAAGAATTGCAAAGCAACTAACTGGACCAACAATAAAGGGAACACAAAGAAAGCAATTATGTACAAACTAAGCTGTTTAAGGCTAGTTCCTTGACACAGTGCCAGATCCCTGATTTAGACTGAGGTGGGAAACAGACCTTGAAAGATTTCTCATTTTAGTGATGTTTGGGTATCATGTTTCTATAATAATTGGTCTCTACAACCTTAAGTTTTTTTAAAAGATTTAGGAGTATTTTAGTAGAAGCTTGGGAGGAGTTGTGTCTCATGTTCTGTGCTGAAAGCTTATCTGAGGTCTCCTAATATTTTCAGAAATTTTTGTCAGCGTTTTTATAATCCAATCAATAACAACCTATTAGTGAATGAGAATGTAGGAGGCAGCAGACTAAATCAAATTTATCTTTTTCCTTGAGTCTGATAAATATGTAAATAAATCGATCCATCTGTTCTACCAAAATAATTCACAAGTTTGATGGTTATTGTAATTCTTAGTGTCTTCTGCTTTCTAGTTCAAAGGGGTGAAATTCCTTTAGAACTTGAAAGATGGAGCTAACAGACAACATAAGAATACTGTGTATACTTCTTAGTATCACTGGGTGTATCACCAGAACAGTGCCTCCAAACTCTGAATCCAAAAAGCTCTGACATGGTGTAATCTGATCTTGGATGTATTATTTTGGCCCCACATATCCTTGAGTCTTGGTTCCTTAGTGTTATTATACTTTCCCTGATATGTGCTCATACTTTCTGACCCTTGGGTGACATTTCTCATCTTTCTTTCTGCCAACTTATCTGAAATGTCAGACAACACCCAAGTAAATGATATTATGAGACACATTGGAAAGGATTGAATCTGGAATTAGTTCTGTTCACTGTGGCAGGGGAAGGAGACAGAGCTGTAAATGCTGTTGTAGAAAGTCCAGTATAACAGATAACAGAGACAGTGTTTGCCTAAGTAGTTGGATCAGTTCCAATGAAGTATAATACACCAGTCACCAATAAAGTGTAGTATACCAGTTTGACCACAAACTCGTCAATACTAGTTATTAAGCATAATATTTCAGATTTAATAGCTATAAAAATGGTACTTTATTGCTGCTTCAACTAGCATTTTAAAAATAATTTGTGAGGTTGAATATTTTGCCATATGTGCTAATTTTCTTTTATCTGCTACAAATGTTCTGCTTGTGTGCTTTCCACCTTTTTGCACTTTGAAATTCTGCACTTTGAAAATCCTCAAACATACATTAAATTTTTGTGAGTAATGTTGTTTGTTGGTTAAAGGGAAGACATTACGGGAATTGGGGGCATTTATTTCACACATCTGCAGTAATATGAGTTAATATTTATCGAGCTCTTTCTCTATATCGGATACTGTTTTCATCTGTATGTATTTTCATATTTAATCCTCATAGTAACTCAGTAAGGTAAGTACTGTTGTTATCAGCATTATATAATTGAGGAAACTGAATTAAGCAGAGAAGTTAAACTTGCTCACAGTGATAATACAGTTAGTGAGTGGCAGAGCCAAGATGCAAATCTTGGCAGTTGGTCTGTGAAGAGAGGATTCCTTGTTGTCTTGGCATTTCAAGTAAGCTAACAGCAAATGCAAAGCAAACACTTGAAAATCCCTCTTCTAATATGGTGGTGGAATCTAACAGGCCAACACTCCCACAGATAATAAATATAGATTCTGGGCAAAATACCAGAAACAGCTACCCAAGAGCTCTGGCACAGAAGAAAAAGCAGGAATATTTTGGAAGGGAGATGAAGTTTGGAGGAAGAGACAAGCATACATTAAGATTAATGTTTTTGCACCTTTGACCTAAGTACTAGCTATAGTCATGATGCAGTCAGTGTAGGACAGCTAAAACTGTGGTAGAAAGCCTGCTCTCTTCCTGGCCTGGAAAACTGAAGGATGGAGTCTGAGATAATGATCCCAGCTTCCAGAAGTGAGAGAAATATCAGAAGGGAGAGCTAGAGAAAGGATTCCCCGGATTTGGTAGATGAAGTCAGCCTAAAGAATTAAGTACTCCTAAACTATGCAAATACAGAACACGTCAAAGATAAAGCTAAATACTAATTAAAGTGGTAGTAGAGACAGATTTTAATCAGTAATATACAATTACAGTAAGGAGAAAGGAGTACAGCATGAACTGAATTAGACTTCAATTTGTATAGAGGTTTTAAAGTGAGAATGAGGATGAAGATGTTTTAAAGGGAGAATGAGGAAATGGAGGGAGAGGGGGTAAGTGGGGGCTCACTAGAGTCAGGGAACTTAACAATTACCCATAAGATGGGAAGGCAGGGTGTGGTCTATGTGAAATCCATTTGGGTTTAACTGGCTCTTACCCTGTCACAGAGACTGGAACATAGGGACTCTTGTCAAGTGTTGGCTGGAACAAGCAAGTTCTGGGAACCTTGAGTTTCTTCAGACAGTACTTTTAAGGAGGGATAGGGTCATCCTAGGAATATGGCTTTGAGCCACATAGCTGTTAGAAGCTATGTTAGTGTTTTTTAAGATCGTTACAAGCAGAGGTTTAGGCATAGTAGAAAAAGGTCTCAGAGGAGCCTGGCTAGTGTTTGCTCATAAGGAATCTTTGTCAAACAGACGAGTAGTTTATGGTTTAGTCTGAGAGAATGGAATTGTAATTTGGACTGCCACCTGCAAGACAAGTTCTCCAGGTGGCCTTCCACCAATTCACTTCTCACTTCTTTCTCACTTGTTCTCAAAAAGAACTGTGGAAAGTGCTGGGAATACACCATCTTGAGATAAGGGACTGACTGGATCTGTTTCAGTCCCCCCTAAAACAGGATTTCCTTCACATGATAGCCTAACATGTCCTGTGTCCCTGGAGTATAAACCCCAGGGCAGGCTACTTTCCAGGTTTCCTCAGATGTCTTGCAAGTAGTGGAGACACTTAGTGGAGTTCCATCTGCTGTGGGCAGCTTTCCTAAGCTTCATGGGACTGGCTTAACATGACTCTGAGGCTTCTGTTGTCCCTTGCTGCCTATCTATAATAATCTGCTTCATGTAACTTGTGTACAAGTGTATTCTGTCTCACCAGAGTAAGACATGTTGGTAACCAGTGCACAGTGAATCTGCTTTATAAAATTAGAGCAGCAAGCAAAAGAATCATGGCTTATTGATGAAGTGGGAGGGCGGTACCCCTCAGTACATGACCCAGAGTGGAGATGTCAGCCTGGGGGTGCAGGGGCTGGACATGTAGTTGGGTATTTTATGGAGAAAAAGGAGCGATAAGTGAGACATAGGTCATCCCCCTGCAGATGTTAGTGAGCAGGCTGTATCTACTGTGGCAAAGAGAAGGAATGTGGAAACAGGAGCACAGCACATAATCCTGGTGGTTGAACACTTACATAAGCACCTCATTCCTGGAGCCAGAGAGCTCAGAAAGAGGACCCTGAGGTACCTAAGAAGGAAGGGGAAAGGTACTCAGAGGGTCCCTGAAGCATCTGAGAGGAAACCAACGTGTTTATTTTGGGCCTTTGCAGAAACGGAGATTCACTATATAAAGGACAGTTTGGAGAAAGGCCAGGGAACTCTTAATGTAACCTGGTTGGTGAGTTTGTTTGATAAAGGGACATTGCAGTTCCAAATGTCTCTGACTTTTGCAGTTATGATTAGGGCCAAGATTTCAGGGTTTCTACCGGAGGCCAATGGCCGCATACTCTAGCTTGTCTGCTTTTGGTGCTTACCTGCTTGTGAGTTTGGGCCATTTCAGGTGCTGGTGACAATGGTTTCCACCCCTAGACATTTTGGCTGCTTGTGACACAGAACATCACCACCGCCTGAAAGAGTATGCATACCCCCAGACAGCTAAAAGTCAGAGGCATAAAAATGGGGTATATCCAATTCCTGCCTGCCACCCAAGCTACCCAAGACCCAGTGGATTATTCAGCAAAAGCAGTACTTCATATTAAGTGGAGAATAGGACATTACTTTGTTAATTCAAAACCTGCTACTGATAAAAATGTTAAGAACCACTCTGTTAAAATCAATCTACCAGCCCAATTTGGCTGGTCAAAAAAAGCCTTTGGGGCATGGAGACTAACAATGGTCTGTTACAGGCTGAATGCCAAGGGTACTTGGGTAGAAAATCAAAGAAATATACCAGATGCCATCAAGCAAAAGTTGGTTGTGGTGGCACCCACTCAAAAAGGAGGTCCACTAGCTGGTAGGCCTCTGAGTACAGAAGACAGCTGTACTGTACCCCATGTGGGTGTTCTTTTGGCCCTCTTAGTCAATGAGATTAAAAAAACCCACCAGCTTTGAACAGGGCCCTTTGCAGCAGCAGACCTTGGATGTCATTCAAATCATGGCTCAGGCACTGCTTTTAAAACTTAGAACCCGCAGGGCCGGCCCGGTGGCGCACTGGATAAGTGCGCCGCTTGGGAAGCGCGGCGGCGCTCCCGCCCGAGGGTTCGGATCCCACATACAGACCGGTTCCCGCTCACTGGCTGAGCGAGGTGCGGGAGCAACACCGAGGGTTGCAATCCCGTTGCCGGTCCCCGGTCCGGTACGGGGGCAACACTGAGGGTTGC